TTCATCGAGACGTTGGGAGATGTGGATCTGGCCGACAGGCTGACCCTGTTACGTCTTCCAGACGCAGATGAGCTTGAGGAAGTGCTGCGGGCGGTGGGTCGCGCGAAACACCGCCAGAAGAAGGCGGCGGTCGGATCCGGCAAGTATCGCCAAAAGGCTCCGACGCCCACGGCCCCAGCTCGACGTGTCCACCAAGTCACGGCGCCTGACTCAGGAACTGAGTCAGGATCCGACGGTTCGGACTCCGACCCTGAAGATTACCGTCGAGTCTGTCTCACTGCGTCCAACGATCGAACGGCGAAGACCGGAGACAACTCTCGACCGAGGGATACCGTACCCGGGGACCGTGGGATGTACAGATCCCGAGATCTCATGGACGGGACAGCCCAGGTCAGGTGTTCGCAGTGCGGACCCCGGAAGCACACTGAATCTGGATGCTGGAAACATCTGGTCTGTGAGAAGTGTGGCAAGAAAGGTCATCCCGGAGATCATTGCTTCTACGTGTGTCGCGGGTGTGGCGAGATTCACGACGTCGGCAAGTGCCCGATGGAAGAATTCTACAACCAGATCCGCCAATGGTTTGATCCAGCCAAGCACAGAGGGATGTTGCCAGAAGTGGCCGAGAAGATGTTAAACTAGGACGCTCGCCGGTTTGAATCCGGTACGAGCTGAGCGTTCTAGGTATTGCATTTATGCATTTGTGAACAAGACATCGCTAGATCCAGGTAGCAGGACCCTAGATCCAGTCGATAATACACGTGATCTACATGAAGTGTCAGTTGCCAAGGTCTCTAGTTTGCGCCAAGTGGATGAGTTTTCCAGATCCGAAGTCTCTTCAACCCTGGATCTACACAGAGGAGAGGCACGTGGTTATTGGGAGAAACGCCAACATGGTCGATGGTTTGAGCCTACCAAGGGTGAAGTCACTGCAGATCCACCTAAGGTCTGTCTGGTCACTGGATCCTGTGGATCTGAGGATGTTGGATCCATGGATCTGCTAACCGGGGAGTCCCGTGGATACTGGAAGTACCATGCCCCAGGAAAGTGGTTCAGACAAGCCAAGGTAGAGGGCAAGATCAACAATGAAAAAGCAATCCTACTCCTAGATAGTGGTGCCGAGGTGTCTATACTGGATACCGCCTTTGCTCGTAAGGTTGGGTACCAAGTGGATGGGAGTCGGATCCAAGATTGTGTTGGGATTGGTGAAGGCGTGTACCGTACGAACGGGAGAACGCGGATCAAGATCACGCTGGCAGGTTGTTTGGTGTATTGGTTTGACATTTGGGTCGGGGATCTCGCTGGTCAAGACGCCATCCTTGGGATGGATTTCATGGTGCCGGCCGGAGTGAGGTTGGATCTGGCGGATGGGACACTTTGTTTCCCTGACGAGATGCGGATCCAGCTCAGCGGACGGCGGCCGCTGTATGGAGCGAAGATGAGGATCATAAGGGCGGATAAGACCACCTGGATCGAGCCCGGGGAAACTTGGGAGCTGTCAGACCGGCTAAAGTGGGTGGAACATGAGAAACTGTGGGTCACTCGGGGCGAGAAATGGGTGCCTACAGTAATCCAAGGACCAGGTCGATCACAATACCTCCAGGTCACGAACGTCAGCGACAAGAGACTATTACTGGACCATTATGAGGAGATCGGACGATGGTTGGCGAAGGACGGTATCCCTAGGCGACCTGGATATGTGTCAGTGGGATCCCACCGCTACAAAGAATGGCAGAATCTGGTGTACGAGGCGACTACCGAGATCGAACCTCTCAGAGAGGTGGAGCTCCCGGCGGAGCCAACTGGCCCCTTGGTGGATCGGCCTTCATATCCAACTCCGCGAAAGATCCTGCAGAGGGATCGACGGGTTGAGATCCAAGCAATGGAGGTTGGATCCACGACGGGGACAATCCCCAGAGTCGGCCTTTAGATAACGCAGGTTGGGTGGATGAAGGATTGCAGAGGGCTAAGGCCGAACCAGTACATTTCCCCATGTATCCACAAGTGGATCCAAGCTTTCCATTGGATAAAGTGCCTGGATCCTTACTGAGAGTGGCAACACTAGTCAAACAAGAACCGTCGTGTTTAAACTCGCTAGATGATCAAGTCGATCCAACTGGCGGCTTCCCCGGTACCAGGGTACCTGATTCCACGAAGACAGAAGGACTGACAGGTGAAAGAGGGTCGCGGTGCTTGGATCCAATGGTGGATCCGACGAAGACGGAAGATGATCAAGTCTGTTACCATGAAGGCGGGGATCTACACGCCGAGGATCTCGGAGAAGGCCTGGCGGTGATCCCGGAGGTACCACTGACCACAGAAGAGGTCACGATTGATGATATCCAAGTGGATCCAGGGGCGAATGAACCCGCTGAAGTGGATCGTCTGCGTCAGAAGATCTGGGAAAGCCGACATCTGCTGATTGGTAAAGGTAATGCGCTACCGCCTGCTGCTCGCGGAGTCAAATGTGCCATCGATGTCGGCGACGCGAAACCGATCGCTCAGAGGGTGCGGAAGGTGGCACCTCAGTTCCGAGAAAAACTATCGGATCTGATTAAGGGCCTGCTGCAAGCCAAGATCATCAGTTTCTCAACGTCCCCGTGGGCATCCCCAGTGGTAATCATCATCAAGAAGAACGGGGTGGATATTCGTCTGTGCATTGATTACCGGCTGGTTAACGGCTTGACTCGATTGATGGTGTATCCGATGCCTCTAATCAATGAACTGTTGGAAGATTTGGATAAAGTACTCTGGTACTGCTCTCTTGACATGGCCAGCGGGTTTTGGGTAGTGACTATGACGGATCGAGCTCGCGCGATATCCGCATTCATCACACCGTTTGGACTGTTCGAGTGGAACCGGATGCCGTTTGGATTGAAGAACGCACCCCAGATCTACCAACGTCTGATCGATAACGCTCTCTATGGATTCACCCGAATACCGGAACCCAAAAGGGGTGGATCCGGGGAAGGTCATACGGAAGTAGATCCATTTGAGGCAGGAGAGCCAGGGGATCCTGGAACCCCGTCCGTGCTAGGACGCAGATCTTACATCGACGACATTCTAATCCCGGCAATATCGTGGGATCAGTTGTGCGAAAGAGTGACATCCCTACTGGAGGCGTGTACTAAGTGGAATCTCTCTATCAGCGTGGTGAAGAGCTATTGGGGGATTCGCAAGGTGGATTACTTACGTCATCGAGTTTCCAAGAGGGATTGGAGGCGAATCCTAAAGACCTGTCTTCGTTAGCCGATTTGTCCTTCCCGCAGTCGTTACGGGCGATGCAATCCTTCTTGGGCAGTTTGAACTACTACAGTCGGTTCATCGAGGATTACGCCCTGTTTGCCGCGGTATTGTATGAATTGAGAGAGGTAGATTTTGCTGCGATGACCACACCAGCTGTCCGGATAAAAATCCAACAAGCTCTGGCCCGGGAGACGTCGGATCCACGAAGGAATCCAAGTGGTACGACGCCAGAAGAGGACCTGAAACAGGAGCTGGATCCACCCCGGGACCAACGGAGAGAGGATCCAGTCTGGATAGAGACGACGGATCAGAACATGGAAAAGGCAGAATCTCGGTGGATCCGAGCTCAACACGCATTCG